AGATCGACAGCGACCTGTGACAGCGACCTGTAAAAAGGAATTCTCGTGATGTCAAGGATCTGCTTATCCGAGCTCCCCACGTTTAATCCGAGCTTTGGGTCTCACCGAATTGGGCTTGAGCTGAGAGAGATTTGGTGCAAGCATTCGGTCTCAAAAAGGCACTCTTCTTGTTTCGTACTGGTTCTCAAAGCCAACCTTCCAGTAGTCCGAACTTCAGACCAGACCCTAGTCCTCTTTTTTGCTGACTCCAACCTGTGAAGAAGTGATGTCCCTGCCAGTGACTCACTCTCCGTTGCCAAGCTTTTTCAAACTTTGTTCCATGTTTCGCGCAGCTCGTGGACTGAGCAATGCAGCTCGTTAGGTCCGTTCCAACCTGTGGGGCGAACAGACCATTGGCTCAGCTGTAACAACGAGTGGTGTCCTTAACTGCCTTAGCTTTTGCGGCATGTCGATGACGCACGCTCCACGTGTGGTTTCTAAAAAGCTGAAAGACTTTTTGCTGAGGCTGTTGCTGTGATCGTGGGCTTCCTTTGCTTCTTCCGAACGAGCAACAATGATTTCAATGCAGAGACCTCACATGTTTTTGGATTTTCAACTCCGGGCGATGAGCTCGAGCATCGACGTAAGCTACACCGCTCAAAGATTCAAGCGGTGTCGATGTTTGTAGACTTTGTCAAATTGCCAGTGCGAGCTTCCTGAATTGACTTCTATCAACCTTGCTCAAATCAACTTTGCTGAGCTATCATTGATAGTATTTCTTTGTTCCATAGCCCAGTTGTCCTTTTCTGTGACCCCAAGCACTATTCAGGCCGCATCAGTCATACTGTAGAGAGAGGGAGAGAGAGAGAGGAGTAAGAGAGCGAGGGAGGAAGGGAGAGCAATCTCACTGAAGCCGTGTTCGTCTGGTTGATCCTCTAATACCAGCTGAAAAAAGCCTTCCAGCTTGTGTGCCAGAGCTCCTTGCCACTGAAGTGAGACTGGAGGACAAGAGCAGGTTCAGACTACAATGCAAGCAAGACCAATACCGATCTCCACGAGTGCCTAAAAAGACAAGTCCTTCGAAGCTGTTGGGTCCAGACTTTCTTGTGCGGAGCTCGCTGAGGCGTCTCTCTGAGCTGAGCATGCTGAGCTGGCGAAGAGGCGACTCAAGTCTTGTCTCGTGTGACTGCAGCCTTTGAGAACCTAATGGTGTTCTCTTCATAGAGAACCGAGAGCTACCCTTGGCAAGATCAGCCAGTTACCCCTGCTTGAGGTTCCAAGCACATGGGTTTGATCCAGTTGTCGAAGAGACCAGGAAGTGAATTGACCAGAAGGTAGCGGTCAGCCACAAGTTGCACGTGGTGCTTGCCACTCTTCTCAGCTTCTCCCCTCCCATCCTAAGTTGGTAAGAATGACATCTGTAGAGTGTGTGCTCGTTCGTTCCATTGTGCACACTTCTAAAACGAAGCAAGGATGTAAGGAGACCCTTAAATCTCGATAACCCCTGATGGGTGAGCTTGCTTCCAGCTTCGTGCGGCAAGAGAGAAGCCAACCGATTGCATGAAAAACCTGCAAAGGAGCTCCTTCCGCAACACCCTGGAACTGCATATCATTCGGTGCGTTGGGACTCTAGTCTGTGACAGTTCCAGTGATCCAGAACCCTGTGGGATGCTGCTACTAACAAGTGCTTGTCAACATCCACCTTGTTCAAAGGCTTTCGACGTTTCCTCTTGAATTAATCCCTTAGCCTTAGCCATAGACTGAGTCCCGGCCAACGTACAAATCTATGCATGTGGCAGCCCAGATTCCATTCTTTCAATCTTGAGGTTGATATATAATCTTTTCCACTTCCCCCCAAAGCTGGCGGGAACCGCTGCTTGCGCCAGTTGCAGCCTTTGTGTCGTGGGTTTTTTGCTGTTCCGATGGGCCTTGTAGGTGAAGGACTCCACGAATTCCTGGGCCGGTCATGTCGTCCGCATCTTTTTTCCAGCTGAAGTGATTCGCCTGTGTCGCGAACGCAACAAGCGACGAGCTGTCGGTGACTGCGGACTTGACTCCCTGAAGAACCAGACCCAGCTTACGCTCCGGTGGGTCAGGGTCATTGCACATGTGAAGAGGAAGACCCACTGTCCTCTCCCAACCGTCCAGATGCTGCAAGGTTCCAGCTTACATCGGAATAGCTTGCTGGCATAAAGATTGGGTCCGGCCAACTTGGCTGAGTTCAGGCAGAGCGGTCCAGTTTTTGCTGTCTTGCTCTCTTGTTTGCCAGCTTTTAGCGCTAGTGTGCACTTTCTAGCGCTAGCGTGGACTCAACAGATGGAATAGCTGGACCACAGAACCATGACCACATACAAAACACCGAACACCAGGCTTGCAATCCAAGCTTGAAAAGATAACGTAGTCGTGTTATTGGAGCAGACAAACATGAAGCATCTTTAATCTTTTCCAACAACTTATACAGCTTGATTCCCGTTAGCCTTGAAAGATGTAGTGCTTTTGCCACTTGCTTGTGTCGGATTGTTCACTGCCTGCTCAGATGGTTTGCCAGAAAGTGAAATCAGTTCTGACTTGTGCGTTGCCTCGCCAATAAGTGAACAATGCTTGCTCTTTTAATTCGCAGGACTCGCAAGGCGCAGAGGCGGTGCCAGATGCCAAGGCATCTTCTCCGGCAAGCAGATGTTCCTGACAAGTCTGAAGGATTCAGACCGGAAGTAGAGGGAGGCCTTTTGGTGAGAGGCCTTCGAGGCCACTCTGACCAGACCTCTTCCGCCAGTTCGACCAGGCCACTCCGGTGGTGAGACAAGTCTTGAGCTGAACTTCCCATCACTTGCCTTGCTTTGCTGGCCGCCTCAGAGTTAGATGTCTCGAAGGGCCAGCTTCACTTAGGCTTTGGTGAGCCATGCAGGCAGTCTACTACAAAGATTTGGGCAGGTTTGTTGTTGGACGATGACGAGGAGTAATTGTTTGTTTGAAGATGTTCATAATAAGTGACCTAGCAGAGGGTCCAATTTTCAGTCAAGGCTTCCCTGCATCCCTTATGTGCCACAAGATATTTGCGAAGCCTTTGGCCATGTGATCA